AAGGGAGAAATATAGGAATTCGTACCTGGATGGGAGCTGGGATGGCAAGCGGGAGGGGGTAGCCAGCACTGCAGGGCGACCTGGGCGTCTATGGGGAACACCCAAGCTCCTCCTCACCAGGACCCTGCCCAGGCCCGAAGGACTGGATATTTGTTCTTATTGTATATAATTTTATAGTAGGTTTAGAACTATCTTATTTGAATAAAAGGGGGAGGTGCTGCAGGAAGGTTACAACTAATATCTACCCACCTACTGGGTCATGGCCTCATGGACTATTTACCTGGATTTGGAAGCACGTCCGGCTCCATTTCTTCCTCTCTCTGCTTGCCCCTGGGCCCCATTTTGAGTGTTCGGTTTGCTTTGGATCTGATCTTTGTCCATTGTTCAAGCAATACATCCTGACTTTGTTAGTCTACCCCTTAATTAGCACCAATCTGTTTTCTTAGTTTTGAGCTGGTGTGAAATTCCTTTTTTTGTTAAGCATCCAATCATTTCCGCCTACAGGAAATCAGTGTGGTCATTTCTCAGAAAATTGGGAATCGACCTACCTCAGGATCCAGCAATACCACTCTTGGGAATATACCCAAAAGATGCTCAATCATACTATAAAAGCATTTGTTCAACTATGTTCATAGCAGCATTATTTGTATTAGCCAGAACCTGGAAACAACCTAGATGCCCCTCAACTGAAGAATGGATAAAGAAAATGTGGCACATTTACACATTAAAGTACTACTCAGTGGTAAAAACAATGACATCTTAAAGTTTGCATGCAAATGGTTGGAATTAGAGAATACTATCCAGAGTGAGGTAACCCAGGTCCAGAAAAATTAATATGGCCTGAACTCACTCTAAGTGGATACTGGCTATAAACAAAGGACATTGAACCTATAGTTCATGATCCTAGAGAAGCTAAGTAATAAGATGACCCCCCACAAAATTCTATAGACCCACCAGGAAATTGAAAACTAACAAGATCATCTGACAAAGCTGGGAGTATGGGGGCAGGGAAGTAGAAGGAAGGGGAGAAGGGGAGGAGTGAGGAGAGCTTGAGGGAATGGGATAGTTGAGATGGTGGAAGGACAGATATGAGAGTTAGGGAAGAGATATCTTGATTGAGGGAGCCATTATGGGGTTAGATAGAAACCTACCTCTAGAAAAATTTCCAGGAATCCACAAGGATGACCCCAGCTAAGACCCTAAGCAATAGGGGAAAGGGTGTCTGAACTGGTCTTGCCCTATAGTCAGACTGATGATTATCTTAAATATCACCGTAGAACCTTCACCCAATAGCAGATAGATACAGAGGCAGAGACCCACAGCGGAGCACTAGACTGAGCTCCCAAGGTTCAGTTGAAGACTAAAAGGAGTGAGCACATGAACAAGGAGGTTAACACCATGAGGGATTCACCCACTGAGACAGTTTACCTGAGCTAATGTGAGCTCACCAACTTTAACTGGACTGGGAGTGAATGAGCATGGGATCAAATTAGTCCCTCTGAATGTGGTTGACAGCTGGGGCAGACTGAGGGATTACTGACAGTGACACTGGGATTTGTCTCTACTGCATGTACTGGGTTTTTGGGATCCTATTTTCTTAGGATGTATACCTTGCTCAGCCTAGATGTAGTATGGAGGGTGTTGGACTTTCCACAGGGCTTGGTGTCTTGCCCTCTCTCAGGGTTGGAGGGAGGGGACGGGAGTGTATGTGGAGGGTGTGGGAGGAAAGGAGAGAGTGGGAATTTGGATTGGTAGTTTTTAAAGTAATAAAATAAAATAAAAAAGAAAAATACATAGCTCAATAAAAACAATTGTAAAAACTATTATTAAACAAGTGGGGAATGGGTAATTAAATACAGTTGGCCCTGGCACAAAAAAAAGATATTCATGACCAATGATTATTTATTCTGGTTACTTTTCAGAAGCAGTGTTTTTGTGTTGCCCCTCTTTGGGGTTTACTAGTGTGAGCTGTGAGGTTATTTGTTTCCTGCACTTTTGTGGGTGCAGCTAACTTCCTTGAGTTGGAGTTTTCCTTCTAATACTTTCTGCAATTCTGGATTTTTGGATAGGTAATGTTTAAATTTGGTTTATCATGGTATATCTTATTTGCTTCATCTATGGTGATTTAATGCTTTGCAGGATATAGTAGTCTGGGATTTCATATACCACCTCTTAGTATCTACAGCATTTCTGACAAGGACCTTCTGGCTTTCAGTTTCCATTGAGAAGATGGGTGTAATTCTGAAGGGTATGCCTTTATATGTTACCTGGCCTTTTCCCTTTGCAGTTCTTAATATTTTTTTATTCTGTATGTTTAGGATTTTTATTATTATATGGCGAGAGGACTTTTTTCCTCCAGTCTATTTGGTGTTCTGTATTCTGCTTGTACCTTCATAGGGATTGCCGATTGCCTTCTTTAGGTTGGGGAAGTTTTCTTCTTTGATTTGGTTAAATATATTTTCTGTGCCTTTGAGCTGGAGTTATTCTCCTTCCTTTTTTCCTAATATTTTTAGTTTTGGAATTTTCATAGTGTCCCAGATTTCCTGGATGTTTTGTGTTAAGGATTTGTTGGATTTAACTTTTTCTTTGACAGATGAATCTAATTCTTCTATCGTGTCTCACGTCCTGAGATTTTGTCTTCCATCTTTTCAATCTGTTCTTTATGCTCACACATGTAGTTCCTATTCCATATCCAGAATTCCCTCAGGTGTGTTTCCTTTATTGCCTCTATTTCAATTTTCAAGTCTTGAACTATTTGCTTTACTTGTTTGATTGCTTTCTTTCTTTTTTGATTTTCTTCTCTTTCTTGAAGGGATTTATTGATTTCTTCCAATTTTTTGTTTGTCTTTTCTTTCACTTCATTAAGGAAAATTTTCATTTTCTCTTTAAGGGTGTCTACCATCTTCATAAAGTCATATTTAAGGTCTCTTTCTTCTGCTTTTTCTTAGTTAGTATGTTCATGTCTTCCTGTTATAGGACCACTAGGTTCAGGTGGTGCTGTATTGGTGTTGTTGGATGTGTTCTTAAGCTACAGACTGCCCATATCTTCCTCCAGTGGGGGCAGGGAGGCTCTGTCTTTCAGGGAGTTCCTCTTCCTCTGATTGGTGAAGGTAAGGCCTGTGGCTTAGCTAGTCGGTTTTCCTCTGGGTACAGGCAGGTCCCTGCCTCTAGTGGATATTGATAAGGCTCTCAGGCTCCACTCCAAGGGCTGTTTTGGTCTAGGCTCTCTCCAGGGGAAGTTTGAATAAAGGTTTTGTTCAGGGTCAGTCTGGGCCAAGGCTCAGGTAGTCACAAATGTGGTAGGGGTTGGTAGCAAGTGTGTGGAGGGTGCTGGGTTCTCCAGAGCTTGGTCGGTGCAGAAGGGGTACAGAATGTTTCTCCCAGGGCAAGGTCCTAGGGAACTGCATCCTCTTACTGGGAACCCAGATGCTTACCTCTCCAGGGGCAGTCTTGGCTAAAGCTCCCCTGGTCACAGATGTGGTGGAGGATGGTAGTGGGTGTATAGAGGGTGCTGAGGTCTCCAGGACTTGGTGGGTGGGAGTGGGGCATGAGATGTTCCTCCCAGCGCTAGGGCTTAGAGAGATAGCTCTCCAGTCGTGAACTCAGTTGCTTATCTCTCCAGGGGCAGTCTCGACATCCTTTTTCTTAATAAACTTTGTTGAACATCTGTTACTCTGACCTTGTATGTAACTACAAGGCTTAAACCCATACTGGATTCACAAAATGGCTTTTAGTCTAGATTAAACTTCCTCTGAGGGAAAAGCGAGCTAATTGTATGCAGTTAATCTGAGATAAAGGACAAGTAGACTTTTAAACGTCTGCACACCTCATGTGTCAAATAGATCCAGTTATGAAGCATGTCCCAGTATATATTCTATTTATCAAAGCTGTATAACTAAATGAAAAGTCATGTTTTGACCACCCACTGATATATGTGACCAGTAAACAACACACTGCCATGCTGTGGAAAGAATCCCCAAACTGTAATGTGGAGAAAGAGCTAACCACACACCAAATCTGCAATGAGGACACCTAACACATTCAGAAGATTTTGTACCTTATCATTTTGCTAGATAAGTTTAATGTGATGTGCATCTCTGGTGTCAATATTCCTTCTCACCTTGTTAAATAAGGGCTATCTCCATGAGATCTGCAAGTCTGATGGGCTGACCTGTGAAGTCCTCTCTGGTCTCTCACTGCATAATTCTGCAATCCATAGCAGAAACAGTTATGCAAGCCCTAGGTGACTCACTGGGGATCTGACTTCCTTTTTTGCCGGAGCTTGTGGTTCGAAACTGGCAATTTCCTTATTCCACTGACTTCAGCATTTCTGACACAGAAAGACACTTCTACTCCCTTCTCTGCTTCCAAACCCTTAGTTTCTTCTCTATCTGTACCAGATTTCCTCACATGACACTGCAGATCCTGTCTCAACACCGTCAGCACTAATGCTCAGGGGATCAAATTTTCTGGCTGCTGTATAAAGTACAAGATTATCATCCGCTCACTTTCAGATTGAAGCTGGTAATAATCTTCCCCTGTCCTTCATTGGGGTACAATGAGGAAAATGACCTCTTTTTCAGTTTACTGTGTGAATCAACTAGTTCAGCAACATGGGAGGATTCACATATGGATTCTTTTTTTCTGAGAATATGCATTGGGGTGAGCGAGTGCATTGGTTGGTTTTTGTCATTTTGATGAAGACTAAAGTCAATTGGAAACAGTGAACCTCAACTGAGGATGCGCTTTGATGAGACTAAACTGTAGTCATGTCTGTGGGGGCATTTTCTTGACTAATGATGTGAAGAGACCTCAGAACCTGAAACTATTCCTCTGAGAGGACATTACATGGAGACAAATTTTGGGACTCCTGACATGGTCACTTTATTTCCATGATTCCAGCATGTAGTTTGCTGACTTAGGTATAGGAGGAGGTCTATAATTTCACAGATATTGGGTATCTCTGCTGGATCCATCCAGCCCTTTCTCTTCTAGTTCACATTGTTGTTGCTCATTCCTCCTCCCACAGCTTCATGCAGAAGCATCTGAAGTGTTAGAAAGTACTGGTAATGGTTGAAGTCTTGGCAATCATTTGTTCCCTGTAGCACAAACAATAAAATCCCAGAGACAGATATTGGGGATCAAGCTGAAGATCGGAAATGCAAAGTGGCCAGCCCTTAGCTCTTACTTCTACCTCAGTCGTAATGGGTGATCCTGCCACCATGAATCCTCACACTGAGACTGCTGAGACCTGTCTCCTCGTATTCTATAATCCTCTCTAGTGCAAGGATTAAAGGTGTGCACCACCACTGCCCAGTCTTATCGCTAATTAGTGTGGCTGATGGATTAAAGGTGTGTGCCACCACTGCCTAACCTATATAGATGACTAGGGTGTCTGTATTGCATTCTGATATTCAGGCAGGTTTTATTTTTAAAACATGAATGCTATACCACTATATTTTCCCAGCACGGGGACAATAGACTCTCCTCATGCTTTCATCAGCAACCTGTTCCCTTCACCATTTGTATAATAACTTCCTGCGAAGTAGTATTGTTTACTGAGTGGAACGACCTTTGAGCATCTGGACTGGGAGGTTTCATGTGGTATCTCAGCTCCTTGTACCTCTTCCATTGTCCTCAAATGTAGTAATTATTAGAGTATCAATTTTTATATATCAAGATCACGACATATCTCCATCCATGGGACTACCAGAGTCACACCATCATCTGCACCCAACACTCACACCTTCCTCTGTACTCAACAGTCACCCCTTCCTCTGCATGTAAAACACATTTGGTCCCTGGACATTCTCTCACAGCAGTTCCTCAGTGTAAGAACTGAATTTTTACAGAAAACCTGGATCATTAGATTTCTCTCACAGGGTGTGTATCCATGAAATATTTACCTTTCTCTTCTGGTTACATCCGAAGAGCACGTTGGCTTTGTCTCTGGCTGCCCCAAGCCTTGAAGACCAGAATCCCAAGGACTATGAGGATCATGACAGCAGAACCCATCCTGATGAGATTCTCCTCTGTGTGATCCTGTTTCTCCGAGGCTGTGGTTGTAGAAAAAATAGTTACAGAGTTTAGTGATGGTCAAAATTCCCTCAAGAAAACTAAATGTCCCTAAGATAACTAAAAGTCTCTAAGATAACTGAATGTCCACCATGGACCCCTACAATCTCAGAACAGAACTTGGCCCCTATGCTTTCAGTGCTTTGAGTTTGAATTCTCTTTATTCAAATGTCCTGGGTTTGGGCATGTTCTAGGATGGGCTGATAGTCTCCACCGATATAATGAACAGAAGAGTATGATGTAGGCTTATGACCCGAGGGATTTTTCTGTGTTCTGCTTTCTCATTTAATATAAATACCCATCATTCTCATCCTATAAAATAATAAAGTTCTGGAGTGAATCTTTTTCCCTTGGCATAGCTGGGTTCCATCTCTTATTCTTATTATTTCCTTCAGCACCACTGTGAAACACCAGTGAAAAGAGAAAATTAAGAGTAGAATAAATTGTCCTGACATTACAGGAGGGTGAGGATTAGGTGCTAATGCAGGGATCCTGACTCTGCTCACTGTTCTACATTTGCCGTGTAATCTTCATTTTTGTTTACTCCAAACCTAGATTGCAATAGAGGATGGAGTGGACATTATTTGATGAACTGCTACTGGCATCCATTTCTTTGGCAGGGAAAGTGCCTTCTGACTAAACTTTCCTATTATCCCTTTGATCTCGCCCAAGTCAAGGTCACTCCTAGTGTTTGGATCTTAAGTCACCACGACAGTTCAGGGTCACTTCACCTGAGACAGTGATCTTTACAGGGGCACTGGCATATGACAACAGATAGAGAGATGAGCCTTCAGAAACATAGCACCTGTAGGTGCCTGAGAAGTCAGAGGTCACAGCACTCATGGAGAATTCTGCCTGGGACTCCTGAACTTGGAGCTTCGGTTTTAGTCTCTGGGGTTGGTGTGCTGCTTCCTCCTTGGACAGAATGAAACTGTCCACTGTGTGTGCTGTCTTACACAACAGGGTCACGTTGTCTCCAGAGTGTATTGTGGAGTTAGGCTTCACTGAGAGGGTAGGAATGACTTGAAACCATCCTAAAGGAGAGAGATGATGAGAGGCAGCATTCAGTGTTCTAAGCAGACACATAACCTCGATCTTCCATGAACACCTAGGACTCTGTTTCTTTTCTTGTTTGAGCCCCTCTCCTGCTTCCCTGTCTCTGCATCTATTGCTAAATAAGATCCCTGTCCCTCATCCCAGCCATCACCTCCTTAATATCCCAAAGAGAGCCCTAGTAGAGGTTAGGTGCCCGAGGGAATCTATTTAGTTCCTCACCTGAGATCAGGATGTCCAGGGGGTCACTGGAGGCTGACCACTCAGAGGAGAGGTTGTGTGCACCATAGCATCTGTACTGGCCTCCAGTAGAGCTGCTCACAGAGCCCAGTGTGAAGTTGGCCAAGGAGAGACCAGACTGAGTCCACTGGCCATCTTGCTGAATGAACTCAGCACTCCCCAATTTGTACAGGGCAAATCTGTCATAGTTGATGTCAGAGCAACACTGCAGTGTGAGGTGCTTTCCAGGATCCAGGATATGGCCTTGGTGAGTCAGCAGGGAGGGCTTCTTGGCCAGCCCTAGAGGGAAGGTGACAGGCTAGTGATGGAGGAGCTGGTTTTTACCAAGCACTTATTCTCTCCCCTCCTGCCCTGCACCTGTCACTGCTTCTACCCAGGGGTGGGGCTCTGGCTCAGGAACCAGGCTCTTCCTTTTTCACTCTTTATCTGCAACTACCGAGTAGGACACTTCCATGGCAAAGGGCATTGGGTATAAGAAATGATTAGTCAGTGATGGGGAAGACTCACCAGAGATGTGTATTTCCAGGGGTTCACTGGGTACTGACCACAGCTGTGGGGTCTTCTTGTAGTAACCATAACATCTGAATGTTCCTGTGAGGTCTGGTGTTACATGATCTATAGAGAACAATGCTCGGTACTGCATAGCACTGTGTATATACTGTGAGTCCATGGAGCTGAGGAACTTTTGATCTTCCTTCGTGAGAATGAACTTGTTATATCTCCTCAATGATACACACTGGAGAGTCATGTTCCCTCCTGAGGTCACCACAGGGCTGGGCAGGGCTGTCAGGCGGGATTTAATGTTGTAGATACCTAGGATAGAAGTTGTCAGACAATGTTCTTCAAGGCTGGGTTGTGAGAGGGGAATACACTAGAGAGCAGAGCCTGGGGCTGAGACCCTGACTGTCCCCTCACCTGTTACCACCAATTCCAGGGTGTCACTGCGCTCTGACCAGCCAGCCGAGCTGTAACAGTAACAGTGATACTGCCCTGCATCTAGGTGGGTCACAGAAGGGATAGAGAACTTGGCCTTGTTCTCTGGCTTCTCTGGGGTCTGTGTACCCCAGTGTTTTTGGGTTCCTTCTTTTTGTAAAATATATATTTCTGCATCCATTGTCCCCTGACACCAGATGTCCATGGGACTCGCTGAGGTGATCACAGATCCTGGCTCAGCCTTGATGGTGGGTTTGTGGAGGGTCCCTGCAAGGAAGCAGGAAAGAAGGAGGTGAGTCTGTCTGACAGTGGCACAGAGAAAGTCACTTTGGATTGCACTTCTTTTTTCTTTTCAATTTATTCTTCACCATACAATACACCCCAACAGCAACTTCCTCACCTCCTCTCTCCCTAGATCCACTGCTCCATTTCTCTTCAGAAAAGTGCAGCCTTCCCTGTGATATTAATGCAACATGGCATAACAGCATGCAATAAGACTAGTCATACACCCTCATATTAAGGTGGACACCACAACCCAGGAGCAGGAAAAAGATCCCATGTGCAGGCAAAAGAGTCAGAGACTTCCCCACTCCCATTGTTATGAGCTTAACAAAATCCCCAAGCTTGCCAATCAGTGATGGTGCATTCCTTTTATCCCTAGCACCAGGAGGCAGATACAGGCAGATCTATGTGAGTTCAAGGCCAGTCTGTCACACAGTGTGAGGTCCAGGACAGCTAGGGTTACACAGTGAAACTCCAAAACAAACCAACAAACAAGCAAGCAAGGAAACAACAACAAAAACCCAAGTTAAACAACCACAGCCTGTGTGCAGAGGGCCTAAGGCGGACCCATGCAGGCTCTGTGGTTGCTGCTTCAGTCTCTGTGAGCCCTCATGATCCCTGCTTAGTTGTTTCTGCGGACCCTGTTCTCCTGGTGTCCTGAGTGCTCTGACTCCTCCTTCTCTCCTGTGGTTTTACTGTGCTCTTGTGGATGATGATACTTGAGCTGATCCAGAATAACACAAAGCCCAATGAAGAATCATCTGTCCTGGATCTCCTGGGTTTTGCTGTAACTATGTGCCTTGCATTCTGTATCTTGTGACCACTGTCTTCCATGCTCTGTGTTAATGGACTCAGGTGCCCTGGCTCCTCTTACACACTAAACACCAAAGTCTCTCTGAGCACCTATATAATTTTAGCATCATTCTAGGGAAAGGCTAGGGTTCCTCACCTGGGACAAGGAGCTCCAGGGTGTCACTAGGTTCTGACCACACTTGATGGCTGTCCTCGTTAAAGCTGTAACATCTGAATGTCCATCTTTGACTGGAGGTCACAGGGCCCACAAAGAACAGGACCTGGTATTGCCCAGTATAGGTGTTACACTGTAAGTCCAGTGTCAGGGACGACTGCTGAGGTCCTTCCTTAGTCAGAATGTAGCAGTTATATGCCTGCTGTGAGTCACACTGGAGGGTGACAGTCCCTCCTTCAGTCACCTCAGGGCTGGGCTGGGCTGACAGCCTGGGTTTACTGTAGAATCCTAGGAGAAAAGGAGGAATCAGTTAAATGTCCTCAATAGTCTCATTACATTCCATGGTTGTGAGGGGGTGGGCATACTCACTGAACTGTGTCCTCTCACCTGTCACCACCAGCTCCAGGGGGTCACTGTACTCTGACGTTCCATCAGGGGTCTGATATTGACAGCAATATCGCCCTGCATGTATATGATCTAATTCTGAGATTGAGAATTCGTTCTTGTTCTTTGGGTTCTCTGAAATCACTCTCTGCCATTGATTTAGGTATGTCTCTTTATATAATCTATACTCTTTGGCTCCTGTGGCTCCCTCACACAAGAAGGTCACCTTATTCTGCTTGGAGACCACAGAGTGTGGCTGTGCTCTCAGGACAGGCTTAGGAAGGGCTCCTGCAAGAAAAGAGCAGCTAGGCCTCAGGACAGCCATCCTAAGATTGCAACCCCATTCCCGACCCTCCGTCCACCCCAGCGCACGTGTGCTGTTTCCATCCTCACTGCCCAGGCAGGGCTCCTGGGGATGATGAGAGGTGCAGGTCAGGACATCTGCAGACACCCACTCACCTGCCAGCACTGGAGTTCTGAGGCCCAGAGTCAGTCCTGGAAGAGAGTTCCCTGTGAGAGGTTTGTCCCCGAGGCTTGAGCAGGTCCTCCCCTCTTCAGAATCCCCCGAGACCCTGGGGTTTCCTGATGGGCCAGTGCTGGGCTGTGGGGCAGCATCATTTCTAGATGATGGTATCCCCTCCCCATCTCCACATCTCACCCAGACAGAGCAGGGCTGTGAAGGTGAAGGTCATGGCATCTCCTCCTGTAGGCTGCAACTGTGCTCATAGACAGAACAACAGAAACTGCCTGGAGGGACAGGAGACATTGGGTGTGGCCTCTGGAGACAGGAACTCCCCATGACAGGGTTGTACTGGAGCAGCCCTACAGGAAGGGGACTGCCCTCCTCAGGCACCAGACTCTGACTTTCCCAATACTCTGTCTAGGTCTGGCAGTAGATTCTTCAGGCAATATTTGATGGATGACATTTCCATAACCCCATCCGTGTCTGTCTCATCTGTCCTCATCTTTGTCAGGACCAGAGTTCTGACCATGTAACAGACATCTATGAATATTACACATAAAAATACAAATTCACGTGTGTGTTTGTTTTATTTCTTTTCACATTTTCATGTGAAATACTTTTATATTCAAAATGTTCATATTAGAAATTCATATTCAAAATGTTCTGTGAAGGGCCTAGCTGTGTACATTTGCATGGAATGAAGTTTATAATCTTTTTCCTCATAGTCTCAAGTGATGAGTTCCAAAAAATGTGCACTGATGTCTCTGGCTGTTTCTCCTTTCTAGATGTGTCTATTTTCCATTTCAACTTTAAATTACACAAATTTATTTATTTACACTTATGTCTTTAAATTGCACGTATGTGATAATAATATATTACACTTATTTTCTCTTTATGTGTGTACACTCACGTGTGTCACAGCCTCTGCATGGAGGTCAGAGGACAACTACAGAAGGCAGTTTTCTCATTGAGCAATGTGGAGCAGAGTCAGGACTGAAGGTGATGGCAGGTGCTTATACACTGATCCATGTCTCTAGCCCAGTCTTATAATCATCACTTTCCGTAGTCCTTCTGCTTCAGGTAAGGAAAAAAAAATTCATTGTTTCTGTGGATCTTGGATCAAACAAGTTCCCAGCATTGTTTGAATCTTTTGGGATACAGGTTGTTGGTGTTGTCACCCTTCCTGGGGCAGTTAACTGCACAGGGGTACATGTGTGGGCAGCACTTCTGAGTGAGCAGCAGTGCATGGCTTTGTCACTGTTGTGCTTGTGAATAACCTAACAAAGAGATGGCTCTTTGATGTCACCACACTGCTGTAGGAAATCATACAGCCAATAGCCTTTGTAGCCGTCCTCTGGAGCGTGGCCTCTTATACCTAAGAGCAGTCAGGGTTCCCTGCCCCATGGGAAGTCCAAGTCCCCCCCCCCCCCACCCCGCGCCCGCTCCATCCAGGTCTATAAAGGTGAAGTATCCAAACAAACCAGGCTCCCACAAAGTCAGTCCATTCAGTAGAATCAAAACCCAGTGCCATTGTCCTTGGCTTCTCAGTCAGCCTTCATTGCTAGCCACATTCAGAGTGTCCAGTTTGATCACAAGCTCCATCACTCCCAGTCCAACTGGCCTTTCTTCACCACACAGGGGTAGAACCAGGGTAAGTGTCGGAGTGTTTTTTGTACTTTGTCATTGGCCAGGGTGCAGCCATGCTCTCTCTGGGGGCAGCAATTATCAGATGCTGTTAATCAGGTGGGATGCCTTTCTTGTCTTGGATCTCCGCCTTGACATCCTCTGTGGAGTCTCTGGGCTAAACTTCAAGGGTGATGATGCTGCCTTTCCGGACTTTTCCAAAAATCTTCATGTTAGTATTTGTTTGGCAGCCTAGATTAAGAGAAAGAGAGCTCAGTAAACCCATTTCATTTCCTTTTATTTTTGATGCTAGGCGTGATGGCGGGGCCTTCAGTATTCTACTTCTCCTGAGCAACCCCTGAGTCACACTCACTATCTTATAATATTTAGTTTCTAATCTTTCAATTTTTTCATCTGCTATCCTTTTCTTATGATTATGAGCTAACTTATCTTTGTTGTTGTTTTAAGACAGGCTCTCTCTGTGAGCCATGGCTGTCCTGGTGCTGGTTATGTAGACCAGGCTGGCCTGGAACTCGTAGAAATCTTCCTGCCTCTGCTTCTCAACTGTTTGTATTAAAGGTGTTGGCTACCAACCTGGCCATGGGTTTGATATCCTAAGTGTTTTAAAATGTCATACCAGTATGTATTGTGTTTTGATGGAGTCGACCATGCACCTCAACATTTCTCCCTCACCCTCTCTTGCTGGTTTCCCTTCTCACTGACCTGATCTTTTCAATTTCTTCTGTGACATGTTAGTTGTTAAAAATCCACTGCTTTTTCTTACATCCTAACTTTCTGTTGTCTTTCTCCCATGTAGCTCCATTTTTGTTTCTCATATTCTTGGGATGGTACCAGGGGCCACACCATTAAAGAAACCTGACTCTTCCTCTTCAGTAGATCTCAGATGTCAATTGCTCTTGATCTATAGGTGAGGTTTTCTTCCAGTCTCCCAGTTTATAGGGGACATGTGGAAGTAACCACAACCACTGTGAGCTCAGATGTGCAACTGTGTTGCAGTTTCAGAAGAGAGAATCTTGTAGTCATCCACCACCTCTGAGTCTTACAAATGTTCAACTTCCTGTTTAGTAATGATCCCAAGGCAGGAATGTGTCCCACGGGGAAAATTCTCTAACTTAACATCACTTCAAAGGATGGAGCCAGGGCACACACATGTTCTGTTTGTACATGGATGATGAGAGAGAGGTCACTGAGTATTTTCCCCCTTTGTTGCTGAGTCCAGCAGACACCCTTACTTTCCTTTCTATCAATGTCAATAGGAATAACTACTATCTTGTAAGCCTGTCTATACATGTCCTTTAGCAAATCAGGAAAATGCTCAGTAGGTAGAGTGTGTGATATTCTTAGATGTCAGTGTTTGATCCCCAGTGATGCATAAATCCGATGCTGTGGCTCACGTCTTTGACATCAGGGTTTAGGAGGTAGAGTTAAGACTATCAGGACTTTAAGGAAACCCTTATTTTGCAGGTTTTTTTTTGTCAGTCTGGGCTATATCAGACACAGAAAGGGAAAGAAAAAGTCCTCTAGAGTATGTGGTGAACATGATCAAATATATTTTACACATGTAATTTTCTTCAAAGAAATAATAAAATTATATTTAGTATAAGGCTCCCACCCTGGGGAATTGTCCCAAGTATTTCATCATATCCATTTCTAAGGGACATTCCTATCTCAGTCCCCACATCTCTTGCACCCGTATGCCAAGTGTGTCACATGGCTAGAGTGTCTCTCTCCTATTGATTTCATGGGCAGCTCTATCTCTTGACCTGAGAATAAGTAATGGGGCCATGCCATTTGGACCAGTCAGAGTTGCATTGAGTGCTGTGAGCTCATTTACCTCTCTCTCCCACAGGCATCATTGTCAGTGAGAAGAGGTGCTGCCCTCTCCTGGTTGTGTGCGGTGTTCCTGCAGAGCATGCAGCTGGTTTGTATGCTGAAGTGTTAGTATTTGCCTTTACAGTAAGTTGTTCTCTACCTTCTTTTTAACACATGTAAATCTTATCTGAGTTCTTCCTATAAGGTTCAAACCTTAGTAATATTTGGTTGTAGGAGCACTCAGAAAACTAAGTTGTCCTGTGACATTTGTCTGTGCCATTTGTCTCTTTTGGGAAGCCTTAGATAATAAGTTTTGGTATGCAGAAATAGACTAGCTAAGATGTAAGAATAATATATAAGTGGTTTGTGAAGTAAAGGTAAGGCAGTTCACCAGAAGTTGGCTCCCCTGTCCCTGCAAAGGCGAAAATTTTTCCTGCAGTGATCTTTATATTTAAAGTTGATTAATTTATAAAAGTTTCCATTTCCGCCCCTCCTCCCAACACCCTCCCACTCCCTCCACACCCTCTCCTCCTCCCTCTCCATCCCTAAGAGCAGTCAGGGTTTCCTGCCCTATGAGAAGTTCAAGTTCCTCCCCCCTCCCTCCAGGTCCAAGAAGGTGAGTATCCAAACAGACTGGATCCCCAAAATCCAGTATATGCAGAGGAAACAAGTCCCAGTGTCATTGTCAATGGCTTTTCAGACAGCTCCCATGTCAGCCACATTCAGAGAATCCGGCAACATTCAGAGAATCTGGATGGATCACGTGCTCGTTCAGTCCCAGTCCAACTGGCCTTGGTGAGCTCACATTAGATCAGTCCCCTTGTATCAGTAGGTGAACGCACTCCTCACGGTCCTGCCTTTCTTGTTCATGTTCTCCCTCCTTCTGCTCCTCATTTAGACCTTGGGGGTCTCAGCCCAGTGCTCCAATGCGGGTCTTTGTCTCAATCTCCATCTATCAACGGGTGAAGGTTCCCTCTGGTCTTGCCTTCTTTGCTCACGTTCTCTTTCCTTCTGCTTCTCGTTTGGACCTAGGGAGTTAAGTCAGTGTTCCAATGTGGGTCTCTGTCTCTGTCTCCATCCATCGCCAGATGAAGGTTCTACGGTGATATGCAAAATATTCATCAGTATGGTTATGGGCCAAGGCCGGTTCAGGCACCCTCTCCTCTGTCCAGAGAACAATCTGGGGATCTCTCCTTGGACCTGGGATCCCCTTTATAATCAAGTCTCTTGTAAACCCTAAAATGACTCCCTTAGTTGAGATATATACTTCCCTGATCCCATATCCATCCTTCCTCCCTCCTCCCATCCCAATCACCCGAGCTTTCCCCATTCCTCCCCTGTTCCCTTCTCTCTAACCCTCTCCCCTTCCAACAATCCCCCACCCCCCATGCACCCGAGGTTACCCGGCCCTCTTGTCTACTTCCAATCTCCAGGAGGATAACTACATGATTTTCTTCAGATTCACCTTCTTTTTTTTTTGAAAGTAATTTTATTAAATTATAAAAGTTTCCATTTACGCCCCTCTTCCCAACACCCTCCCACTCCCCCCACTCCCTCTCCTCCTCCCTCTTCGTCCCTAAGGGCAGTCAGGGTTTCCTGCCCCGTGGGAAGTTCAAGTTCCTCCTCCGTCCCTCCAGGTCCAGGAAGGTGAGTATCCAAACAGACTGGATCCCAAAAATCCAGTATATGCAGAGGAAACAAGTCCCAGTGTCATTGTCAATGGCTTTTCAGAAAGACTCCGGGCCAGTCACATTCAGAGAATCCGGCAACATTCAGAGAATCTGGTTGGATCACGTCCTCGTTCAGTCGCAGTCCAACTGGCCTTGGTAAACTCTCATTAGATCCGTCCCCTTGTATCA